GAAAACAGGGGTTTTGGGGGTGTTTCAGGGCCATTTTGGGTTGAAAACAGGGGTTTTGGGGGTGTTTCAGGGCCATTTTGGGTTGAAAAGATGGATTTTGGGTGTTTCAAGGCCATTTTTGGGTTGAAAACAGGGGGTTTGGGGGTGTTTCAGGGCCATTTTGGGTTGAAAACAGGGGTTTTGGGGGTGTTTCAGGGCCATTTTGGGTTGAAAACAGGGGTTTTGGGGGTGTTTCAGGGCCATTTTCGGTTGAAAACGGGGTTTTTGGGTGTTTCAGGGCCATTTTGGTTTGAAAACAGGGGTTTTGGGGGTGTTTAAGGGCCATTTTGGGTTGAAAACAGGGGTTTTGGGGGTGTTTCAGGGCCATTTTTGGGTTGAAAACAGGGGTTTTGGGGGTGTTTCAGGGCCATTTTGGGTTGAAAACAGGGGTTTTGGGGGTGTTTCAGGGCCATTTTGGGGTTGAAAAGATGGATTTTGGGTGTTTCAGGGCCATTTTGGGTTGAAAACAGGGGTTTTGGGGTGTTCCAAGACCATTTTTGGGTTGAAAAGATGGATTTTGGGTGTTCCAAGGCCATTTCTGGGTTGAAAACAGGGGTTTTGGGGGTGTTTCAGGGCCATTTTTGGGTTGAAAACGGGGTTTGGGGTGTTCCAAGGCCATTTTTGGGTTGAAAAGATGGATTTTGGGTGTTCCAAGGCCATTTCTGGGTTGAAAACAGGGGTTTTGGGGGTGTTTCAGGGCCATTTTTGGGTTGAAAACAGGGGGTTTGGGGGTGTTTCAGGGCCATTTTTGGGTTGAAAACAGGGGTTTTGGGGGTGTTTCAGGGCCATTTTTGGGTTGAAAATGGGGTTTGGGGGTGTTTCAGGGCCATTTTGGGTTGAAAACAGGGGTTTTGGGGGTGTTTCAGGGCCATTTTTGGGTTGAAAACAGGGGGTTTGGGGGTGTTTCAGGGCCATTTTTGGGTTGAAAACAGGGGTTTTGGGGGTGTTTCAGGGCCATTTTTGGGTTGAAAACAGGGGTTTTGGGGGTGTTTCAGGGCCATTTTGGGTTGAAAACAGGGGTTTTGGGGGTGTTTCAGGGCCATTTTTGGTTTGAAAACAGGGGTTTTGGGGGTGTTTCAGGGCCATTTTGGGTTGAAAACAGGGGGTTTGGGGGTGTTCCAAGGCCATTTTTGGGTTGAAAACAGGGGGTTTTGGGGGTGTTTCAGGGCCATTTTTGGGTTGAAAACAGGGGGTTTGGGGGTGTTTCAGGGCCATTTTGGGTTGAAAACAGGGGTTTGGGGGGTGTTTCAGGGCCATTTTGGGTTGAAAACAGGGGTTTTGGGGGTGTTTCAGGGCCATTTTGGGTTGAAAACAGGGGTTTTGGGGGTGATTCAGGGCCATTTTGGGTTGAAAACAGGGGTTTTGGGGTGTTCCAAGACCATTTTTGGGTTGAAAAGATGGATTTTGGGTGTTCCAAGGCCATTTCTGGGTTGAAAACAGGGGTTTTGGGGGTGTTTCAGGGCCATTTTTGGGTTGAAAACAGGGGGTTTGGGGGTGTTTCAGGGCCATTTTGGGTTGAAAACAGGGGTTTGGGGGGTGTTTCAGGGCCATTTTGGGTTGAAAACAGGGGTTTTGGGGGTGTTTCAAGGCCATTTTTGGGGTTGAAAAGATGGATTTTGGGTGTTCCAAGGCCATTTCTGGGTTGAAAACAGGGGTTTTGGGGGTGTTTCAGGGCCATTTTGGGTTGAAAACAGGGGTTTTGGGGTGTTCCAAGACCATTTTTGCGTTGAAAAGATGGATTTTGGGTGTTCCAAGGCCATTTTTGGGTTGAAAACAGGGGTTTTGGGGGTGTTTCAGGGCCATTTTTGGGTTGAAAACAGGGGGTTTGGGGGTGTTTCAGGGCCATTTTTGGGTTGAAAACAGGGGGTTTGGGGGTGTTTTGGGTACCCACGTGCAGCCTGCATCCGTCCCCCAGCGGGTAGGAGCCCAGCAGAGCCTCATCGCAGTCCAGGCGGCCCAGGGGCTCGTCCTCAGCGCTGTAGAGCTCGAGCTCCATGCAGGAGGCCGGGCTGCCCACCACCAGCTCCAGCTTGCACTGCAAGGGAGGCCACGGTGAGGGCCGCGAAGGGGAGAGGGGGGGAAAGGGGCTGGTTCTGCTCGGCAGGGATGGGGGGGTCCATAGGGATAGGAGGGTTGGGGGGGGCTCCATAGGGACAGTGGGGTTGGGGGCTCCATAGGGACAGTGGGGTTGGGGGGGGCTCCATAGGGACAGTGGGGTTGGGGGGGGCTCCATAGGGACAGTGGGGTTGGGGGGGCTCCATAGGGACAGTGGGGTTGGGGGGGGCTCCATAGGGACAGTGGGGTTGGGGGGTCCATAGGGATAGGAGGGCTGGGGGGGGCTCCATAGGGACAGTGGGGTTGGGAGCTCCATAGGGACAGTGGGGTTGGGGGAGGCTCCATAGGGACAGTGGGGCTGGGGGGAGCTCCATAGGGACAGTGGGGTTGGGGGGCTCCATAGGGACAGTGGGGGCTCCATAGGGACAGTGGGGTTGGGGGGGCTCCATAGGGACAGTGGGGTTGGGGGAGGCTCCATAGGGACAGTGGGGGCTCCATAGGGACAGTGGGGTTGGGGGAGGCTCCATAGGGACAGTGGGGCTGGGGGGCTCCATAGGGACAGTGGGGTTGGGGGGGCTCCATAGGGACAGTGGGGTTGGGAGCTCCATAGGAACAGTGAGGTTGGGGGGTCCATAGGGACAGGGGCGTTGGGGGGGGCTCCATAGGGACAGTGGGGTTGAGGGCGTCTCCATAGGGACAGTGGGGTTGGGGGAGGCTCCATAGGGACAGTGGGGTTGGAGCTCCATAGGGACAGTGGGGTTGGGGGGCCTCCATAGGGACAGTGGGGTTGAGGGCGTCTCCATAGGGACAGTGGGGTTGGGGGGTCCATCGGGACAGGAGGGCTGGGGGGGGCTCCATAGGGACAGTGGGGCTGGGGGGCTCCATAGGGACAGTGGGGGCTCCATAGGGACAGTGGGGGCTCCATAGGGACAGTGGGGTTGGGGGGGCTCCATAGGGACAGTGGGGTTGGGGGGGCTCCATAGGGACAGTGGGGTTGGGGGGCTCCATAGGGACAGTGGGGGCTCCATAGGAACAGTGGGGTTGGGAGCTCCATAGGGACAGTGGGGTTGGGGGAGGCTCCATAGGGACAGTGGAGCTGGGGCCCCCATAGGGAAAGTGGGGTTGGGGCCCCCATCGGGACAGTGGGGCCTCCACAGGGACAGTGGGTCTGGGGTGCCCCATAGGGACAGTGGGGCCGGGGTGCCCCATAGGGACAGTGGGGCTGGGACCTCCACAGGAACAGTGGGTCTGTAGGGTGCCCCATCGGGACCGTGGGTCTGGGGTGCCCCATAGGGACAGTGGGGCTGGAGGGCTCCATAGTGACAGTGGGGCTGGGGGGGTTCCACAGGGACAGTGGGGGTGGGGGCCCCATAGGTACTGTGGGGCTGGGGCCTCCATCGCGACAGTGGGGCCTCCATTGCGACAGTGGGGCTGGGGTGCCCCATAGGGACAGTGGGGCTGGGGCCTCCACAGGAACAGTGGGTCTGTGGGGTGCCCCATAGGGACAGTGGTGCTGGGGTGCCCCATAGGGACAGTGGGGCTGGAGGGCTCCATATTGACAGTGGGGTTGGGGGGTTCCACAGGGACAGTGGGGTTGGGGGGCCCCATAGGGACTGTGGGGCTGGGGCCTCCATCGCGACAGTGGGTCTGGGGTGCCCCATAGGGACAGTGGGGCTGGGGCCTCCATAGGAACAGTGGGTCTGTGGGGTGCCCCATCGCGACCGTGGGTCTGGGGTGCCCCATAGGGACAGTGGGGCTGGGACCTCCACAGGAACAGTGGGTCTGTAGGGTGCCCCATCGGGACCGTGGGTCTGGGGTGCCCCATAGGGACAGTGGGGCTGGAGGGCTCCATAGTGACAGTGGGGCTGGGGGGGTTCCACAGGGACAGTGGGGGTGGGGGCCCCCATAGGTACTGTGGGGCTGGGGCCTCCATCGCGACAGTGGGGCCTCCATCGCGACAGTGGGTCTGGGGTGCCCCATAGGGACAGTGGGGCTGGGGCCTCCACAGGAACAGTGGGTCTGTGGGGTGCCCCATAGGGACAGTGGGGCTGGGGTGCCCCATAGGGACAGTGGTGCTGGGGCCTCCACAGGAACAGTGGGTCTGTGGGGTGCCCCATAGGGACAGTGGTGCTGGGGCCTCCACAGGAACAGTGTGGCTGTGGGGTGCCCCATAGGGACAGTGGGGCTGGGGCCTCCACAGGAACAGTGTGGCTGTGGGGGGCCCATAGGGACCGTGCGGCTGGGGCCTCCATCGCGACAGTGGGTCTGGGGTGCCCCATAGGGACAGTGGGTCTGTGAGGTGCCCCATCGCGACAGTGGGTCTGGGGTGCCCCATAGGGACAGTGGGGACCCCATAGGAACCGTGGGGCTGGGGTGCCCCATCGGGACAGTGGGTCTGTGAGGTGCCCCATCGCGACAGTGGGTCTGGGGTGCCCCATAGGGACAGTGGGGGCCCCATAGGGACCGTGGGGCTGGGGCCTCCATCGCGACAGTGGTGCCCCATCGCGACAGTGGGTCTGGGGTGCCCCATAGGGACAGTGGGGGCCCCATCGCGACCGTGGGTCTGTGGGGTGCCCCATAGGACCCATGGGTGTGTGGGGCGGCGCCGGTACCTTGAGCTCGGCCACCGTGATGCCGGTGCTGTACCGCTTCGGGGCCCGGCGGGCGCTGAGGCTGCTGCTGACCGAGAGCAGCACGGAGCCGGCCCCCGGCCCCACCGCCGCCATCATGGCGCCTCCTTCCCCTCAGCGCCTTCTGGAAGCTTCGGCCCGCCTTTGGGCCGAACAGCCAATGGGAGCTGGCGGTGCGCCGCGGGTAGCCAATGGAGGGGGAGAGAGAGAGAGAGGCACCGCCCACCCGGTGGGGAAGAGCCAATAGGGAGAGGGGGAAGGGGCGGGGCTGTGCGCATGCGCGGGGCAGCCATGGAGACGGACGGGGCCTACGAGCCGGGCTTCGTGGGGATCCGGTTCTGTCAGGAGTGGTGAGGGGAGCCCCATAGAGCCCATGCGTGCCCTATATGTGCCCTATATGTGCCCTATGTGTGCCCTATATGTGCCCTGTGTGTGCCCTATGTGTGCCTTATATGTGCCCTATATGTGCCCTATGTGTGCCCTATGTGTGCCCTATGTGTGCCCTATATGTGCCCTGTGTGTGCCCTATGTGTGCCTTATATGTGCCCTATGTGTGCCTTATATGTGCCCTATGTGTGCCCTATGTGTGCCCTATGTGTGCCCTATATGTGCCCTATGTATGCCCTATGTGTGCCCTATGTGTGCCCTATGTGTGCCCTATATGTGCCCTATGCGTGCCCTATGCGTGCCCTATATGTGCCCTATGTGTGCCCTATGTGTGCCCTATATGTGCCCTGTGTGTGCCCTATGTGTGCCTTATATGTGCCCTATGTGTGCCCTATATGTGCCCTATGTGTGCCCTATATGTGCCCTATGCGTGCCCTATATGTGCCCTATGTGTGCCCTATGTGTGCCCTATATGTGCCCTATGTATGCCCTATGTGTGCCCTATGTGTGCCCTATATGTGCCCTGTGTGTGCCTTATATGTGCCCTATGTGTGCCTTATATGTGCTCTATGCGTGCCCTATGTGTGCCTTATATGTGCCCTATGTGTGCCCTATATGTGACCTATGTATGCCCTATGTGTGCCCTATATGTGCCCTATGTGTGCCCTATATGTGCCCTGTGTGTGCCTTATATGTGCCCTATGTGTGCCTTATATGTGCCCTATGTGTGCCCTATGTGTGCCCTATGTGTGCCCTATGTGTGCCCTATGTGTGCCCTATGTGTGCCCTATGTGTGCCCTATATGTGCCCTATGTGTGCCCTATATGTGCCCTATGTGTGCCCTATGTGTGCCTTATATGTGCCCTATGTGTGCCCTATGTGTGCCCTATGTGTGCCCTATATGTGCTCTATGCGTGCCCTATGTGTGCCCTATGCGTGCCCTATGTGTGGTCTATGTGTGCCCTATATGTGCTCTATGCGTGCTCTATGTGTGCCCTATGTGTGGTCTATGTGTGCCCTATGCGTGCCCTTTATGTAATGTATGTGTGCCCTTTGTGTGCCCTATATGTGCCCTATGTGTGCCGTATGTGTGCCCTATGTGCCCTATATGTGCCCTATGTGTGCCCTATGGGTGCCCTATGGGTGCCCTATATGTGCCCTGTGTGTGCCCTATATGTGCCCTGTGTGTGCCCTATGTGTGCCTTATATGTGCCCTATGTGTGCCCTATGTGTGCCCTATATGTGCTCTGTATGTGCCCTATATGTGCCCTATATGTGCTCTATGCGTGGTCTATGTGTGCCCTATGCGTGCCCTATGTGTGCCCTATATGTGCTCTATGCGTGCTCTGTGTGCCCTATGTGTGCTCTATGTGTGCCCTATATGTAACGTATGTGTGCCCTTTGTGTGCCCTGTATGTGCCCTATGCGTGCCCTATGCGTGCCCTATGTGTGCCATATGTGTGCCCTATGCGTGCCCTATGTGTGCACTGTGCGTGCCCTATGCGTGCTCTATGTGTGCCCTGTGTGTGCCCTGTGTGTGCCCTATGTGTGCCCTATATGTGCCCTATGTGTGCCCTATGTGTGCCCTATGTGTGCCTTATGTGTGCCCTATGTGTGCCCTATGTGTGCCCTATGTGTGCCCTATATGTGCCCTATGTGTGCCGTATATGTGCCCTATGTGTGCCTATGTGTGCCCTATGTGTGCCCTGTGTGTGCCCTATATGTGCCCTATGTGTGCCTATGTGTGCCTTATATGTGCCCTATATGTGCCCTGTGTGTGCCCTATGTGTGCCTTATATGTGCCCTATGTGTGCCCTATGTGTGCCCTATATGTACTCTGTATGTGCCCTATATGTGCCCTATATGTGCTCTATGCGTGGTCTATGTGTGCCCTATGCGTGCCCTATGTGTGCCCTATATGTGCTCTATGCGTGCTCTGTGTGCCCTATGTGTGCTCTATGTGTGCCCTATATGTAACGTATGTGTGCCCTTTGTGTGCCCTGTATGTGCCCTATGCGTGCCCTATGCGTGCCCTATGTGTGCCATATGTGTGCCCTATGCGTGCCCTATGTGTGCACTGTGCGTGCCCTATGCGTGCTCTATGTGTGCCCTATATGTGCCCTGTGTGTGCCCTATGTGTGCCCTATGTGTGCCCTATGTGTGCTCTATACGTGCCCTATATGTGCCCTATATGTGCTCTATACGTGCCCTATATGTGCCTTATATGTGCCCTGTATGTGCCCTATATGTGCCCTGTACGTGCCCTATGTGTGCCCTATATATGCTCTATACGTGCCCTATATCTGCCCTATGTGTGCCCTATATGTGCTCTGTATGTGCCCTATATGTGCCCTATATCTGCCCTATGTGCTCTATGTGTGCTCTATACGTGCCCTATATCTGCCCTATATGTGCTCTATATGTGTCCTGTATCTGCCCTATATGTGCCCTATATCTGCTCTGTATGTGCTCTATATGTGCCCTATATGTGCCGTATACGTGCCCTATATGTACCCTATATCTGCCCTGTATCTGCCCTATATATGCCCTATATGTACCCTATATGTGCTTTATATGTGCTCTAAATGCACCCTATATGTACTTTATATGTACCGTATATGTGCCCTATATGTCGTCTATATGTTCCCTATCTGTACCTTGTATGTGCTTTATTTGTACCCTATATGTGCTTTGTATGTACCCTGTATGTACCCTATTTGTACCCTATATGTGCTCTATATGTACCCTGCATGTACCCTATTTGTACCCTATACGTGTTCTATAGACCTCTTACATACACATTGTGTGTCCCTTATCTCTTCGTTATATACTCACTATGTACCCCTATAAACCCCTCTTTCACCTTATATACCCCTATATACTCCCTGTACACAGTCCATATACCACCACACCTCCCTTATGCACCCCTATACGTGCCATATATACCCCATATATCTCTCCTATACCTCCCTTTACCTGTATATACTTCCTATATACCCCATGTGTTTCATATATACTCCCATATACCCGTGCATAGCTCTATGTACCCCATATATACCCCCATATATGTTTCTTGTACTGCTATATACCCCCTATGTACACCCCTATATTCCTATATATGCCTGTGTGCCCACAATGTACCCTCATATACGCCTATATACCCCACTATACCCCCAATATCCTCCCATATACCTCCTATATATCACTACATACCCCCTATATACCTCCTGTACCCCCTTATGCCCCCATATATGCCTGTATACCCCTCATATACACCCTATATACACCTTAGATACTCCTATATACTTTCTATGCCCCCTTATCCCCCATATGCACCTATATAGTCTCCATATAGACCTTATATACATCCTATATGCCTCCTATATACCTTCTATACCCCCTTGTGCCCCCATATACACCTATATACCCCCTTGTGCCCCCATATACACCTATATACCCCCATATACACTCTATATACATCCTATATACCTTCTATACCCCCTTGTGCCCCCATATATGCCTATATGCCCCCATATACACCCCCATATACACCCCTAAATACCTTCTACACCCCCTTTTGCCCCCATAGATGCCTATATACCCCATATACACCCCTATATACCTTCTATACCCCTTTTTGCCCCCATATATCCCATATACACCCCTATATACCTTCTATACCCCCTTTTGCCCCCATATATACCCCTATTTACCTTCTGTACCCCCTTTTGCCTCCATATATCCCATATACACCCCTATTTACCTTCTATACCCCCTTTTGCCCCCATATATGCCTATATACACCCCTATTTACCTTCTATACCCCCTTTTGCCCCCATATATCCCATATACACCCCTATATACCTTCTATACCCCCTTTTGCCCCCATATATCCTATATCCCCCCCATATAACCCCCCTTTTCCCCCCCCAAGCAACAACATGCTGTACCCCAAGGAGGACAAGGAGAACCGGATCCTGCTCTACGCTGTAAGTGCCCCCCCCCATACTGACCCCAATGGGATGCAGCAGCCCCCCTAGATCCATATAGCAATGGGGGGGGGGTTATAGGGACCAGTCCCGGTGTCATAATGGGATAACCCCCCCCTATAGAACCTTATAGGGTTTGTGCCCCCCATCCCTTTGCCCCCAGTGCCGCAACTGTGACTACCAGCAAGAGGCTGACAACAGCTGCATCTACGTGAACAAGATCACCCATGAAGTGGAGTAAGTTCATTAAGGAGCTCCTTAATTGGGGCTCCTTAATGATGAAGTGATGAGGGGGGGCAATTAATGGGGGTAATTAATAGGGGTGAGTTGTTGGGGGTTAATGGCATGAATGGGTCCTTAATGAGGGGCGTTAGGATGGTAATTGGGGCAATGGAGGAGGGGGATTGAGGCAGGGGAGGGGGACAATAAGCCAGCATGTAAATGAGAGGGACTGAATGGATGCTAATTAATATGCTAATTAGTTAATTAAGTCATTGATGAGGTAATTCCCCCCCCCCTTGCAGTGAGCTCACCCAGATCATCGCGGACGTGTCGCAGGACCCCACATTGCCCCGCACTGAGGATCACCCCTGCCAGAAGTGAGGGCACATCGGGGGCCCCCCCCACACAACGGGGGTGTTGGGGACCCCCCCATCCCCTTAATGCCCCCCCATCCTCTTAATGCACCCCCATCCTCTTACTGCCCCCCCTATCCCCTTAATGCCCCACCATCCCCTTTGTGACCCCCTGTCCCCTTTCTGCCCCCCCATCCCCCTTAATGCCCCCCCATCCCCTTAATGCCCCACCATCCCCTTTCTGCCCCCCCGTCCCCTTTCTGACCCCCCTCCCCTTTCTGCCCCCCCATCCCCTTTCTGCCCCCCCATCCCCTTTCTGCCCCCACATCCCCTTATTGCCTCCCATCCCCTTACTGCCCCCCCATCCCCTTTGTGACCCCCTGTCCCCTTAATGCCCCCCCATCCCCTTTCTGCCCCCCCATCCCCTTTCTGCCCCCCAATCCCCATTGTCCCCCCCATCCCCTTGATGCCCCCCATCCCCTTTATGCCTCCCCATCCCCTTTTATTCCCCCCTCCTTGCTGCCCCCCATCCCCTCAATGCCCCCCTCCCATCCCATTTATGCCCCCCCCATAGGTGCGGCCACAAAGAAGCTGTTTTCTTCCAGTCCCACAGCGCCAGAGCTGAGGTGAGGCCCCCCCCCGACCCCCCCAAACTATCCCCATATCCCCCCCTTTACCCCCCCCCATAACCCCTTTGTGTCCCCCCATAGGATGCCATGAGGCTCTACTACGTCTGCACCGCGCCCCACTGCGGCCACCGCTGGACCGAGTGACCCCAAACCCCCCAGTGGGGGCTGTCACCCCAAAACCTCCTGTCCCAGTGCCCCCCACCAGGGTAACAACACCCCCCCACACACCCTGGGTGTTGTTTTGGTGACAATAATGGCTATTCTGGGCAAAAAAGGGTGCTCGTGGTTATGGGGTGCGGGTGGTTATGGGGTGGGGGGGGTATTGGGGCCCAAATCACAGCCCTGGTACCCCCAAATGTGCCACTGGGGACCAAATGCATCCCTGGATGTGGGGCTGGGATCCGGGCGGGATCAAGGTTCAGCCCAGCCCAGCCCTCCGGCGCTGCCCAAAATGGGTCTGAGTTGGAGAATTCCCTAAAATCCCCCCCAAAAATGGAGAATTCCCTAAAATCCCCCCCCAAAAATGGAGAATTCCCTAAAATCCCCCCCAAAAATGGAGAATTCCCTAAAATCCCCCCCAAAAATGGAGAATTCCCTAAAATCCCTCCCCAAAAATGGTTCAAAAATGGAGAATTCCCTAAAATCCTCCTCAAAAATGGGTCAGAGTTGGAGAATTCCCTAAAATCCCCCCCAAAATGGTTCAAAAATGGAGAATTCCCTAAAATCCCCCCAAAAATGGTTCAAACATGGAGAATTCCCTAAAATCCCCCCCAAAAACGGTCCAAAAATGGAGAATTCCCTAAAATCCCCCCCAAAATGTTTCAAAGTTGGAGAATTCCCTAAAATCCCCCCAAAAACGGTCCAAAAATGGAGAATTCCCTAAAATTCCACCCCAAAAATGGTTCAAAGTTGGAGAATTCCCTAAAATCCCCCCCAAAATGGTTAAAAAATGGAGAATTCCCTAAAATCCCCCCAAAAATGGTTCAAAAATTGAGAATTCCCTAAAATCCCTCCCCAAAAATGGTTCAAAAATGGAGAATTCCCTAAAATCCCCCCAAAAATGGTTCAAAGTTGGAGAATTCCCTGAAATCCCCCCCAAAAATAGAGAATTCCCTAAAATCCCCCCCAAAAATGGTTCAAAGATGGAGAATTCCCTAAAATCCTCCTCAAAAATGGGTCAGAGTTGGAGAATTCCCTAAAATCCCCCCCAAAATGTTTCAAAGTTGGAGAATTCCCTAAAATCCCCCCAAAAACGGTCCAAAAATGGAGAATTCCCTAAAATTCCACCCCAAAAATGGTTCAAAGTTGGAGAATTCCCTAAAATCCCCCCCAAAATGGTTCAAACATGGAGAATTCCCTGAAATCCCCCCCAAAATGGTTCAAAAATGGAGAATTCCCTAAAATCCCCCCCAAAATGTTTCAAAGTTGGAGAATTCCCTAAAATCCCCCCCCAAAAAGGGTCCAAAAATGGAGAATTCCCTAAAATTCCACCCCAAAAATGGTTCAAAGTTGGAGAATTCCCTAAAATCCCCCCAAAAATGGTTAAAAAATGGAGAATTCCCTAAAATCCCCCCAAAAATGGTTCAAAGTTGGAGAATTCCCTAAAATCCCCCCAAAATGGTTCAAACATGGAGAATTCCCTAAAATCCCCCCCAAAAAATGGTTCAAAAATGGAGAATTCCCAGGGTTATCCCACCCAAGCTCTCCGCTGTGGATATGGGGCTGGAATCCCAGTGGGATTCCAGTCCTGGAAGGGTTTAAAATGGTCTGAAAGAGCCCCAAATGGTCCAAAACGGTCCTGGAATGGTAAAGAATGGTCCAAAATGGTCCTGGAATGGTCCAGAATGGTCCTGGAATGGTCCAAAATGGTCCTGGAATGGTCCAAAATGGTCCAAAATGGTCCTGGAATGGTCCAAAACGGTCCTGGAATGGTCCAAAATGGTCCAGAATGGTCCAAAATGGTCCTGGAATGGTACAAAACGGTCCTGGAATGGTACAAAATGGTCCTGGAATGGTCCAAAACGGTCCTGGAATGGTCCAGAATGGTACAAAATGGTCCTGGAATGGTCCAAAATGGTCCAGAATGGTCCTGGAATGGTCCAAAATGGTCCAGAATGGTCCTGGAATGGTCCAAAATGGTCCAGAATGGTCCTGGAATGGTCCAAAATGGTCCAGAATGGTCCTGGAATGGTCCAAAATGGTCCAGAATGGTCCTGGAATGGTCCAAAATGGTCCTGGAATGGTCCAAAATGGTCCTGGAATGGTCCAAAACGGTCCTGGAATGGTCCAAAATGGTCCAGAATGGTCCAAAACGGTCCTGGAATGGTCCAAAATGGTCCTGGAATGGTCCAAAACGGTCCTGGAATGGTCCAAAATGGTCCAGAATGGTCCAAAACGGTCCTGGAATGGTCCAAAACGGTCCAGAATGGTCCAAAATGGTCCTGGAATGGTCCAAAATGGTCCTGGCATGGTCCAAAATGGTCCTGGCATGGTCCAAAATGGTCCAGAATGGTCCAAAACGGTCCTGGAATGGTCCAAAACGGTCCTGGAATGGTCCAAAACGGTCCTGGAATGGTCCAGAATGGTTCAGAATGGTCCTGGAATGGTCCAAAACGGTCCTGGAATGGTCCAGAATGGTCCAAAATGGTCCTGGAATGGTCTAAAATGGTCCAGAATGGTCCAAAACGGTCCTGGAATGGTCCAAAATGGTCCAGAATGGTCCAAAACGGTCCTGGAATGGTCCAAAACGGTCCAGAATGGTCCAAAATGGTCCTGGAATGGTCCAAAATGGTCCTGGCATGGTCCAAAATGGTCCAGAATGGTCCAAAACGGTCCTGGAATGGTCCAAAACGGTCCTGGAATGGTCCAAAACGGTCCTGGAATGGTCCAGAATGGTTCAGAATGGTCCTGGAATGGTCCAAAATGGTCCAAAATGGTCCAAAATGGTCCTGGAATGGTCCAGAATGGTCCTGGAATGGTCCAAAACGGTCCTGGAATGGTCCAGAATGGTCCAAAACGGTCCTGGAATGGTCCAAAATGGTCCTGGAATGGTCCAGAATGGTCCAAAACGGTCCTGGAATGGTCCAAAACGGTCCTGGAGTGGTCCAAAATGGTCCAAAATGGTCCAAAATGGTCCTGGAATGGTCCAGAATGGTCCTGGAATGGTCCAAAACGGTCCTGGAATGGTCCAGAATGGTCCAAAACGGTCCTGGAATGGTCCAGAATGGTCCAAAACGGTCCTGGAATGGTCCAAAATGGTCCAAAACGGTCCCGGAGGAGCCCCATAGCGCTGGTATCCCACAGCCCCTGTGGACTCCGTACATTGTCCCCTATGGCGCCCCTACTCCATCCCCTATAGACCCCATACACCACCCCCTATATCCCCATAACCCACCCCCTATATCCCCATAACCCATCCCTTACAGCCCCATAACCCATCCCCTATATCCCCATAACCCATCCCCTATATCCCCATAACCCATCCCCTATATCCCCATAACCCATCCCTTACAGCCCCATAACCCATTCCCTATATCCCCATAACCCATCCCCTACAGCCCCATAACCCATCCCCTATATCCCCATAACCCATCCCTTACAGCCCCATAACCCATCCCCTACAGCCCCATAACCCATCCCCTATATCCCCATAACCCATCCCTTACAGCCCCATAACCCATCCCCTATAGCCCCATAACCCATCCCCTATATCCCCATAACCCATCCCCTACAGCCCCATAACCCATCCCCTATATCCCCATAACCCATCCCTTACAGCCCCATAACCCATTCCCTATAGCCCCATAACCCATCCCCTACAGCCCCGTAACCCATCCCCTATATCCCCATAACCCATCCCCTACAGCCCCGTAACCCATCCCCTATAGCCCCATAACCCATCCCCTACAGCCCCATAACCCATCCCCTATATCCCCATAACCCATCCCCTACAGCCCCATAACCCATCCCTTACAGCCCCATAACCCATCCCCTATAGCCCCATAACCCATCCCCTATATCCCCCATAACCCATCCCCTACAGCCCCATAACCCATCCCCTATATCCCCATAACCCATCCCCTATATCCCCATAACCCACCCCCTATATCCCCATAACCCATCCCCTATATCCCCATAACCCATCCCTTACAGCCCCATAACCCATCCCCTATATCCCCATAACCCATCTCCTACAGCCCCATAACCCATCCCCTATATCCCCATAACCCATCTCCTACAGCCCCATAACCCATCCCCTATATCCCCATAACCCATCTCCTACAGCCCCATAACCCATCCCTTACAGCCCCATAACCCATCCCCTATAGCCCCATAACCCATCCCCTATATCCCCATAACCCATCCCCTACAGCCCCATAACCCATCCCCTATATCCCCATAACCCATCCCCTACAGCCCCATAACCCATCTCCTACAGCCCCATAACCCATCCCTTACAGCCCCATAACCCATCCCCTATAGCCCCATAACCCATCCCTTACAGCCCCATAACCCATTCCCTATAGCCCCATAACCCATCCCCTACAGCCCCATAACCCATCCCCTACAGCCCCGTAACCCATCCCCTATAGCCCCATAACCCATCCCCTACAGCCCCATAACCCATCCCCTATATCCCCATAACCCATCCCCTATAGCCCCATAACCCATCCCCTATATCCCCATAACCCATCTCCTACAGCCCCATAACCCATCCCCTATATCCCCATAACCCATCTCCTACAGCCCCATAACCCATCCCCTATATCCCCATAACCCATCTCCTACAGCCCCATAACCCATCCCTTACAGCCCCATAACCCATCCCCTATAGCCCCATAACCCATCCCCTATATCCCCATAACCCATCCCCTACAGCCCCATAACCCATCCCCTATATCCCCATAACCCATCCCCTACAGCCCCATAACCCATCTCCTACAGCCCCATAACCCATCCCTTACAGCCCCATAACCCATCCCCTATAGCCCCATAACCCATCCCTTACAGCCCCATAACCCATTCCCTATAGCCCCATAACCCATCCCCTACAGCCCCATAACCCATCCCCTACAGCCCCGTAACCCATCCCCTATAGCCCCATAACCCATCCCCTACAGCCCCATAACCCATCCCCTATAGCCCCATAACCCATCCCCTACAGCCCCGTAACCCATCCCCTATATCCCCATAACCCATCCCCTACAGCCCCATAACCCATCCCCTATATCCCCATAACCCATCCCTTACAGCCCCATAACCCATCCCCTATATCCCCATAACCCATCCCCTACAGCCCCATAACCCATCCCCTATATCCCCATAACCCATCCCTTACAGCCCCATAACCCATCCCCTATATCCCCATAACCCATCCCCTATATCCCCATAACCCATCCCCTACAGCCCCGTAACCCATCCCCTATAGCCCCATAACCCATCCCCTACATCCCCATAACCCATCCCCTATAGCCCCATAACCCATCCCCTATATCCCCATAACCCATCCCCTACAGCCCCATAACCCATCCCCTATATCCCCATAACCCATCCCCTATATCCCCATAACCCATCCCTTACAGCCCCATAACCCATCCCCTATATCCCCATAACCCATCCCCTATAGCCCCATAACCCACCCCCTATATCCCCATAACCCATCCCCTATATCCCCATAACCCATCTCCTACAGCCCCATAACCCATCCCTTACAGCCCCATAACCCATCCCCTATAGCCCCATAACCCATCCCCTACAGCCCCATAACCCATCCCCTATATCCCCATAACCCATCCCCTATATCCCCATAACCCATCCCCTACAGCCCCGTAACCCATCCCCTATATCCCCATAACCCATCCCCTATATCCCCATAACCCATCCCTTACAGCCCCATAACCCATCCCCTATATCCCCATAACCCATCCCCTATAGCCCCATAACCCATCCCCTATAGCCCCATAACCCATCCCCTATATCCCCATAACCCATCCCCTACAGCCCCATAACCCATCCCCTATATCCCCATAACCCATCCCCTATATCCCCATAACCCACCCCCTATATCCCCATAACCCATCCCCTATATCCCCATAACCCATCCCTTACAGCCCCATAACCCATCCCCTATATCCCCATAACCCATCCCCTATAGCCCCATAACCCACCCCCTATATCCCCATAACCCATCCCCTATATCCCCATAACCCATCCCCTACAGCCCCATAACCCATCCCCCTACAGCCCCATAACCCATCCCCTATATCCCCATAACCCATCCCTTACAGCCCCATAACCCATCCCCTATATCCCCATAACCCATCCCCTATAGCCCCATAACCCACCCCCTATATCCCCATAACCCATCCCCTATATCCCCATAACCCATCCCCTACAGCCCCATAACCCATCCCCTACAGCCCCATAACCCATCCCCTATATCCCCATAACCCATCCCTTACAGCCCCATAACCCATCCCCTATATCCCCATAACCCACCCCCTATATCCCCATAACCCATCCCCTATATCCCCATAACCCATCTCCTACAGCCCCATAACCCATCCCTTACAGCCCCATAACCCATCCCCTATATCCCCATAACCCATCCCCTACAGCCCCATAACCCATCCCCTATATCCCCATACCCCCCCATAGCCCCGTCCCCCCGTAGCCCCGCCCCTCCCCACCAAGCCCCGCCCCTCCCCTCCCCACCAAGCCCCTCCCCTCTACATCCGCGCATGCGCTCTGCGCTGCTCCCATCCGCCCGGCCTCGTCTCCGGCAGGTACCGATTCCGGAGGGGGGGGGGGGGCCGAGACCCCCCACCACCCCCACCCCCAAAACTCCCCCGCGATTAAATTAACTTAAATTAATTAAATCGAATTAAATAATTAGATTAAATTGGATGAACCGAGACTGAACCCCCCTACCTCACCCACCCCCCCGCTATGTCCTGTGTGTGTGTGTGTGTGTGTCCACCCCCCCCCCCACCACAATGGTTCGCCCCATCCCGCTTCCGCTCCCCTCCCTCCCTCCCGGTTCTCCTCAGAGGCCGCCGCCATGACGAGGGAGCGCGGGGGGGACGGGGACGGGGGGGACGCGGAGACAGCGGCGACCCCCCCCGGGGACCCCCCCGGGCAGCGCCGCAAGAGGCCCGTGGTGCACCCGGCAGCGCCCGCGCCGCTGCCCAAGGACTACGGTGAGGAAACACCCCCGTCCCTATGGGGTGAATGGGGCCTGAATGGGGCCTAATGGGGACAGGGACCCCCCCATGGGGAGAATGGGGCCTGAATGGGGACTAATGGGGACAGGGACCCCCCCATGGGGTGAATGGGGCCTGAATGGGGACTAATGGGGACAGGGACCCCCCCATGGGGTGAATGGGGCCTGAATGGGGACTAATGGGGACAGGGACCCCTCCACCATAGACACTATGGGGTTCAGTGGGGACAGGGACCCCCCCCATGGGGTGAATGGGGTCTGAATGGGGCCTAACGGGGACAGGGACCCCTCCACCATAGACATAATGGGGTTCAGTGGGGACAGGGACCCCCCCCATGGGGTGAATGGGGCCTGAATGGGGCCTAATGGGGACAGGGACCCCCCCATGGGGTGAATGGGGTCTGAATGGGGCCTAATGGGGACAGGGACCCCCCAACCATAGACACTATGGGGACAGGGACCCCCCCCATGGGGTGAATGGGGCCTCAATGGGAACTAACGGGGACAGGGACACCCCCCCATTGACATAATGGGGACAGGGACCCCCCCCATGGGGTAAATGGGGCCTGAATGGGGCCTAATGGGGACAGCGACCCCCCCATGGGGTGAATGGGGTCTGAATGGGGCCTAATATGGACAGGGACCCCCCCACCATAGACATAATGGGGTTCAGTGGGGACAGGATCACCCCCCATGGGGTGAATGGGGCCTGAATGGGGACTAATGGGGACAGGGACCCCCCCATGGGGTGAATGGGGTCTGAATGGGGACTAATGGGGACAGGGACCCCCCCATGGGGTGAATGGGGTCTGAATGGGGCCTAATGGGGACAGGGACCCCTCCACCATAGACATAATGGGGTTCAGTGGGGACAGGGACCCCCCCCATGGGGTGAATGGGGCCTGAATGGGGACTAATGGGGACAGGGACCCCCCCATGGGGTGAATGGGGTCTGAATGGGGACTAATGGGCACAGGGACCCCCCCATGGGGTGAATGGGGTCTGAATGGGGACTAATGGGGACAGGGACCCCTCCACCATAGACATAATGGGGTTCAGTGGGGACAGGGACCCCCCCCATGGGGTGAATGGGGCCTGAATGGGGACTAATGGGGACAGGGACCCCCCCATGGGGTAAATGGGGCCTGAATGGGGACTAATGGGGACAGGGACCCCTCCACCATAGACATAATGGGGTTCAGTGGGGACAGGGACCCCCCCCATGGGGTGAATGGGGCCTGAATGGGGACTAATGGGGACAGGGACCCCCCCATGGGGTGAATGGGGTCTGAATGGGGACTAATGGGGACAGGGACCCCCCCATGGGGTGAATGGGGTCTGAATGGGGCCTAATGGGGACAGGGACCCCTCCACCATAGACATAATGGGGTTCAGTGGGGACAGGGACCCCCCCCATGGGGTGAATGGGGCCTGAATGGGGACTAATGGGGACAGGGACCCCCCATGGGGTGAATGGGGTCTGAATGGGGACTAATGGGCACAGGGACCCCCCCATGGGGTGAATGGGGTCTGAATGGGGACTAATGGGGACAGGGACCCCTCCACCATAGACATAATGGGGTTCAGTGGGGACAGGGACCCCCCCCCATGGGGTGAATGGGGCCTGAATGGGGACTAATGGGGACAGGGACCCCCCCATGGGGTGAATGGGGCCTGAATGGGGACTAATGGGGACAGGGACCCCTCCGCCATAGACATAATGGGGTTCAGTGGGGACAGGGACCCCCCCATGGGGTGAATGGGGCCTGAATGGGACTAATGGGGACAGGGACCCCCCCATGGGGTGAATGGGGTCTGAATGGGGACTAATGGGCACAGGGACCCCCCCATGGGGTGAATGGGGTCTGAATGGGGACTAATGGGGACAGGGACCCCTCCACCATAGACATAATGGGGTTCAGTGGGGACAGGGACCCCCCCCATGGGGTGAATGGGGTCTGAATGGGGCCTAACGGGGACAGGGACCCCCCCCATAGACACTATGGACCGGAGCCCCCCCATAGACACAACGGGGCTCAATGGGGACAGAGACCACCCCCCCTATGGCAAAGGGACCCCTATAGGGCTGCCAGTGGGGATTCTCTGATGGCTGCTATGGGGTTGAGCACCGTGGGGTGTCCTCCCATAGGGACAGAAACACCCCCCCCCATGGCAAAGGACCCCTATGGGGTCCCATGTGGGGATTCTCTGATGGCTGCTATGGGGTTGAGCACCGTGGGATGTCCTCCCATAGGGACAGAAACTCCCCCCCCATGGCAAAGGACCCCTATGGGGTCCCATGTGGGGATTCTCTGATGGCTGCTATGGGGTTGAGCACCGTGGGATGTCCTCCCATAGGGACAGAAACTCCCCCCCCCCATGGCAAAGGACCCCTATGGGGTCCCATGTGGGGATTCTCTGATGGCTGCTATGGGGTTGAGCACCGTGGGGTGTCCTCCCATAGGGACAGAAACTCCCCCCCATGGCAAAGGACCCTTATGGGGTCCCATGTGGGGATTCTCTGATGGCTGCTATGGGGTTGAGCACCGTGGGGCACCCCCTCTATTCCCTCTTGTATCCCAATACCCCCCCCCTTATGTGTGTCCCCCCTGTACCCCCCCCAGCCTTCACGTTCTTCGACCCCAACGATGCTGCGTGCCGGGAGATCCTGCTGGACCCCAGCACCACGGTGCCGCAGCTCTTCGCCATCCTGCGCCAGTGGGTGCCCCAGGTGCAGCACAACGTGGACCTCATCGGCAACGAGGTGCTGGGGGGGGCTATGGGGGTCAGGGTGCTGGGGGGCGCTATGGGGGAGAGGATGCTATGGGGTGCTATGGGGGACAGGGGTGCTGGGGGGGGCTATGGGGGTCAGGGTGCTGGGGGGCGCTATGGGGGAGAGGATGCTATGGGGTGCTATGGGGGACAGGTTTCTGTGGGGGGCTATGGGGGTCAGGGTGCTGGGGGGGGCTATGGGGGACAGGGTTCTGCGAGGTGCTATGGGGGACAGGTTTCTCTGGGGGGCTATGTGGGACAGGGGGCTATGGGGTGCTGTGGGGGACAGGGGACTGTGAGGTGCTATGGGGGACGGGGGCTATGGGGTGCTATGGGGGACAGGTTTCTCTGGGGGGCTATGGGGGATGGGGTTCTGTGGGGTGCTATGGGGGACAGGTTCTCTGGGGGCTATGTGGGACAGGGGCTATGGGGTGCTGTGGGGGACAGGGGACTGTGAGGTGCTATGGGGGACAGGGGCTATGGGGTGCTGTGGCGGACAGGGTTTTGTGGGGGGCTATGGGGGACACGGGGCTATGGGGTGCTATGGAGCACGGGGCTATGGGGGTCAGGGTGCTGGGGGGGGCAATGGGGGACAGGGAGCTGGGGGGGGCTATGGGGGACAGGGTTCTGTGGGGGGCTATGGGGGACAGGGAGCTGGGGGGGGCTATGGGGGACAGGGGTCTGTGGGGGGCTATGGAGGATAGGGGGCTATGGGGGTCAGGGTGCTGGGGGGGCTATGGAGGACAGGGTTCTGTGGGGGGCTATGGGGGTCAGGGTGCTGGGGGGGGCTATGGGGGTCAGGGTTCTGTGGGGGCTATGGGGGACAGGGTTCTGTGGGGGGCTGTGGGGGACAGGGGGCTATGGGGTACTGTGGGGGATGGGGTTTTGTGGGGGGCTATGGGGGGCTATGGGGGATGGGGGGCTGCGAGGTGCTATGGGGGACAGGATGCTATGGGGTGCTGTGGGGGGACAGGGGCTATGGGGTGCTGTGGGGGATGGGGTTCTGTGGAGTGCTGTGGGGGACAGGGGGCTGCGAAGTGCTATGGGGGACAGGGTTCTGTGGGGGGCTATTCGGGACAGGGTTCTGTGGGGTGCTATGGGGGACAGGGTTCTATAGGATGCCATGGGGGACAGGGTTCTGTGGGGTGCTATGGGGGTCAGGGTTCTTTGGGGGGCTATGGGGGACAGGGGGCTATGGGGTGCTATGGGGGACAGGGGGCTGCGAGGTGCTGTGGGGGACAGGGGGCTATGGGGTGCTGTGGGGGACAGGGGGCTGCGAGGTGCTGTGGGGGACAGGGGGCTATGGGGTGCTGTGGGGGACAGGGTTTTGTGTGGGGCTATGGGGGACACGGGGCTATGGAGGACGGGGCTATGGGGGTCAGGGTGCTGGGGGGCTATGTGGGACAGGGTTCTGTGGGGGGCTATGGGGGACAGGGTGCAGGGAGGGGCTATGGGGGACAGGGTTCTGTGGGGTGCTGTGGGGGACGGGGCTGCGAGGTGCTATGGGGGATGGGGCTATGGGGTGCTGTGGGGGGCCGGGGGCTGCGAGGTGCTATGGGGGCAGGGTCTTTGGGGTCCTGTGGGGGGCAGGGTGCAGTGGGGTGCTATGGGGAGACAGGGTGCTATGAGGTGTCAGGAGGTCAGGGTGCTATGGGGTTCCCCTGGGGGTGACTGGTGTACTGGTGGGTAATTGGTGTGGAACTGGTGCATAAGTGGTGTAACTGGTGTGCAACTGGGGTGTGACTGGGGTGTAACTGGTCTGTAACTGGTTATACCTGTGGTACTGGTGTGTAACTGGTGTGTAACTGGTTATAGCTGTGGTACTGCTGTGCAACTGGTGTGCAGCTGGTGTGTAACTGGTGTTATAGTTGTGTAACTGGGGTGTAACTGGTGTGTAACTGGTTATAGCTGTGGTACTGCTGTGCAACTGGTGTGCAACGTGTGTAACTGGTGTGTAACTGGTTATAGCTGTGGTACTGCTGTGCAACTGGTGTGCAACTGGTGTGTAACTGGTGTGTAACTGGTTATAGCTGTAGTACTGGTGTGCAACTGGTGTGTAACTGGTGTGTAACTGGTGTGTAACTGGTTATAGCTGTAGTACTGGTGTGTAACTGGTGTGTAACTGGTGTGTAACTGGTTATAGCTGTAGTACTGGTGTGCAACTGGGGTGTAACTGGGGTGTAACTGGTGTGTAACTGGTGTGTAACTGGTGTGTAACTGGTTATAGCTGTAGTACTGGTGTGCAACTGGGGTGTAACTGGGGTGTAACTGGTGTGTAACTGGTGTTATAGTTGTGTAACTGGGGTGTAACTGGTGTGTAACTGGTTATAGCTGTGGTACTGCTGTGCAACTGGTGTGCAACGTGTGTAACTGGTGTGTAACTGGTTATAGCTGTAGTACTGGTGTGTAACTGGTGTGTAACTGGTGTGTAACTGGTGTGTAACTGGTTATAGCTGTAGTACTGGTGTGCAACTGGGGTGTAACTGGGGTGTAACTGGTGTGTAACTGGTGTGTAACTGGTTATAGCTGTGGTACTGCTGTGTAACTGGTGTGCAACTGGTGTGTAACTGGTGTTATAGTTGTGTAACTGGGGTGTAACTGGTGTGTAACTGGTTATAGCTGGTACTGGTGTGCAACTGGTGTGTAACTGGTGTACAACTGGTGTGTAACTGGTGTTATAGTTGTGTAACTGGGGTGTAACTGGTTATAGCTGTGGTACTGTTGTGCAACTGGTGTGCAACTGGTGTGTAACTGGTGTTATAGTTGTGTAACTGGGGTGTAACTGGTGTTATAGTTGTGTAACTGGGGTGTAACTGGTGGTATAGTTGTGTAACTGGTGTGCAACTGGGGTGTGACTGGGGTGTAACTGGTGTTATAGCTGTTGTACCTATGTGTAACTGGTGTTACAGCTGTTGTACCTGTGTGTAACTGGTGTTACAGTTGTACTGGTGTGTAACTGGTGTTACAGTTGTGGTACCTATGTGTAACTGGTGTTACAGTTGTATTGGTGTGTAACTGGTGTGTAACTGGTGTTATAGCTGTTGTACCTATGTGTAACTGGTGTCACAGTTGTTGTACCTGTGTGTAACTGGTGTTATAGTTGTACTGGTGTGTAACTGGTGTGTGACTGGTGTTATAGTTGTACTGGTGTGTAACTGGTGTGATAGCTGTGGTACTGCTGTGTAACTGTGTTACAGCTGTTGTACCTGTGTGTAACTGGTGTTATAGTGCTGTGTAACTGGTGTGATAGTTGTACTGGTGTGTAACTGCTGTGTAACTGTTGTACTGGTGTGTAACTGGTGTACTGGTTTCTACTTGAGGTGTAACTGCCGTGTAATTAGTATGTAACTGCTATGTAGTGCTTGTACTGGTGTGTAACTGGTGTGTAACTGGTGTTACAGCTGTTGTACCTATGTGTAACTGGTGTGTCCTAGTGTGTACTTAGGGTGTAACTGGTGTGTAACTGCTGTGTAGTGTGTAACTGGGGTGTATCTGGTGTGTAACTGGTATCTGCTGGTGCGTAACTAGGGTGTAACTGGTGTGTGGTGTCTTACTGGGGTGTTATTGTGGTGTAACTGGTGTGTAGTATGTAACTGGGATGTAACTGTGGTGTAACTGATGTGTAACTGGTGTGGAGTATGTAACTGATGTGTAACTGATGTGTAACGGGTGTGTAACTGGGATGTAACTGTGGTGTAACGGGTGTGTAATCGATGTGTAACTGGTGTGTAACTGGTGTGTAACCAGTGTGTAACTGATGTGTAACCGGTGTGTAACCAGTGTGTAACTGATGTGTAACCAGTGTGTAACAGATGTGTAACCAGTGTGTAACCAGTGTGTAATTGATGTGTAACTGGTGTGTAACGGATGTGTAACCAGTGTGTAACTAATGTGTAACTGATGTGTAACTGATGTGTAACCAGTGTGTAACCGATGTGTAACCGGTGTATAACGGATGTGTAACCGGTGTGTAACTGATGTGTAACTGATGTGTAACTGATGTGTAACCGGTGTGTAACCGGTGTGTAACCGGTGTGTAACTGGTGTGTAACTGATGTGTAACTGATGTGTAACCGGTGTATAACGGATGTGTAACCGGTGTGTAACTGATGTGTAACTGATGTGTAACTGGTGTGTAACTGGTGTGTAACTGATGTGTAACTGATGTGTAACCAGTGTGTAACTGGTGTGTAACTGGTGTGTAACCGGTGTGTAACTGATATGTAACTGGTGTGTAACTGGTGTGCAACAGATGTGTAACCAGTGTGTAACCAGTGTGTAACTGATGTGTAACTGATGTGTAACCGGTGTGTAACCAGTGTGTAACCGATGTGTAACTGATGTGTAACCGGTGTGTAACCAGTGTGTAACCGATGTGTAACTGATGTGTAACTGTGTGTAACTGATGTGTAACTGATGTGTAACCAGTGTGTAACTGGTGTGTAACTGATGTGTAACGGTGTGTAACCAGTGTGTAACTGATGTGTAACCAGTGTGTAACCGGTGTGTAACCGATGTGTAACCGGTGTGTAATGGATGTGTAACTGATGTGTAACTGATGTGTAACCGATGTGTAACCAGTGTGTAACTGATGTGTAACCGGTGTGTAACCGGTGTGTAACCGACATGTAACTGATGTGTAACCGGTGCGTAACTGATGTGTAACCGGTGTGTAACCAGTGTGTAACTGATGTGTAACTGGTGTGTAACCAGTGTGTAACTGATGTGTAACCAGTGTGTAACTGATGTGTAACCAGTGTGTAACTGATGTGTAACTGATGTGTAACCAGTGTGTAACTGATGTGTAACTGATGTGTAACCAGTGTGTAACTGATGTGTAACCAGTGTGTAACAGATGTGTAACTGATGTGTAACCAGTGTGTAACCGATGTGTAACTGATGTGTAACTGGTGTGTAACCAGTGTATAACTGATGTGTAACCAGTGTATAACTGATGTGTAACCAGTGTGTAACTGATGTGTAACCAGTGTATAACTGATGTGTAACCAGTGTGTAACTGATGTGTAACCAGTGTGTAACTGATGTGTAACCAGTGTATAACTGATGTGTAACCAGTGTGTAACTGATGTGTAACCAGTGTATAACTGATGTCTAACTGGTGTGTAACCGATGTGTAACCAGTGTATAACTGATGTGTAACCAGTGTGTAACTGATGTGTAACCAGTGTATAACTGATGTCTAACTGGTGTGTAACCGATGTGTAACTGGTGTGTAACGGATGTGTAACTGATGTGTAACCAGTGTGTAACTGATGTGTAACCAGTGTATAACTGATGTGTAACCAGTGTGTAACTGATGTGTAACCAGTGTGTAACTGATGTGTAACCAGTGTGTAACTGATGTGTAACCAGTGTATAACTGATGTATAACAGGTGTGTAACCGATGTGTAACCAGTGTGTAACTGATGTGTAACCAGTGTGTATGTGTAACCAGTGTGTAACAGATGTGTAAACCAGTGTGTAACTGATGTGTAACCGGTGTGTAACTGATGTGTAACTGATGTGTAACCGATGTGTAACTGGTGTGTAACGGATGTGTAACTGATGTGTAACTGGTGTGTAAGTGATGTGTAACTGGTGTGTAACTGGTGTGTAACCGGTGTGTAACCAGTGTGTAACCGGTTGTAACCGACGTGTAACTGGTGTGAACCAGTGTGTAAACAACCAGTGTGTAACTGGTGTGTAACCGACGTGTAACTGGGTGTGTAACCGGTGTGTAACCAGTGTGTAACTGGGTGTGTAACCGACGTGTAACTGGTGTGTAACCGGTGTGTAACCAGTGTGTAACCGGTGTGTAACCGACGTGTAACTGGTGTGTAACCGGTGTGTAACCAGTGTGTAACTGATGTGTAACTGGTGTGTAACGGATGTGTAACTGATGTTTAACTGGTGTGTAACTGATGTGTAACCGACGTGTAACTGGTGTGTAACCGGTGTGTAACCGACGTGTAACTGGTGTGTAACCGGTGTGTAACCAGTGTGTAACTGGTGTGTAACCAGTGTGTAACTGGTGTGTAACCGGTGTGTAACCAGTGTGTAACTGGTGTGTAACCGGTGTGTAACCAGTGTGTAACTGGTGTGTAACCAGTGTGTAACTGGTGTGTAACCGACGTGTAACTGGTGTGTAACCGGTGTGTAACCAGTGTGTAACTGGTGTGTAACCAACGTGTAACTGGTGTGTAACCGGTGTGTAACCAGTGTGTAACTGGTGTGTAACCAACGTGTAACTGGTGTGTAACCAACGTGTACTTGTTAACGGGTCAGATCCTGCGCCGCGGCTGCCACGTGAACGACCGTGACGGCCTGACGGACATGACGCTCCTGCACTACGCCTGCAAGGCCGGGGCCCACGGCGTGGGTACGTGTCCCTGTGCCCCATAGCCCCGTACCCCACAGCCCCATAGCCCAGTACCCCACAGCCCCACATCTCCCCATAGGGGACCCCGCGGCCGCCGTCCGCCTGTCCACGCGGCTGCTGGCGCTGGGGGGCGACGTGACGCTGCGCAGCCGCTGGACCCACATGAACGCCCTGCACTACGCCGCCTACTTCGACGTCCCCGAGCTCATCCGCACCCTGCTGCGGGCAGCAGCGCCCCGAGGTGAGGGCAGGGGGTCCATGGGGCAGGGCGTGGGGTGCAATGGGGACAGGGCATTTGGGGTCCTCAAGGGGCAGGCCGTGGGGGTCCCCAAGGGATAAGGACGTTGGGGTCCGTGGGGAGAGGACATGGGGGTCCCACAGGGGATGAGGACATTGGGTGCAATGGGGACAAGAGATGGGGGGCTCCAGGGGATAAGGACATTGGGGTGCCACCGTGGGCACAGGCCGTGGGGGTCCCGTGGGGGTGAGGACATTGGGGTGATGCCATGGGGGTCCCATAGGGGTGTGCACATTGGGGTGATGCCATGGGGCTCCCATAGGGCACACTGGGGTGATGCCATGGGGCTCCCATAGGGCACACTGGGGTGATGCCATGGGGGTCCCATAGGGCACATTGGGGTGATGCCATGGGGTTCCCATAGGAGACATTGAGGTGATGCCATGGGGGTCCCATAGGGGACATTGGGGTGATGCCATGGGGGTCCCATAGGGGTGTGCACATTGGGGTGATGCCATGGGGCTCCCCTAGGGGACATTGGGGTGATGCCATGGGGTTCCCATAGGAGACATTGAGGTGATGCCATGGGGGTCCCATAGGGAACATTGGGGTGATGCCATGGGGCTCCCCTAGGGGTGAGCACATTGGGGTGATGCCATGGGACTCCCATAATGCACACTGGGGTGATGCCATGGGGGTCTCATAGGGGTGAGCACATTGGGGTGATGCCATGGGGGTCCCATAGGGGTGTGCACATTGGGGTGATGCCATGGGGCTCCCATAGGGCACATTGGGGTGATGCCATGGGGCTCCTCTAGGGGTGAGCACATTGGGGTGATGCCATGGGGGTCCCATAGGGGTGATGCCGTGGGGCTCCCATTGGGGTGAGCACATTGGGGTGATTCCATGGGGCTCCCATAGAGGACATTGGAGTGATGCCATGGGACTCCCATAGAGGACATAGGGGTGATGCCATGGGGCTCCCATTGGGGTGATGCCATGGGGCTCCCCTAGGGGGTGATGCCATGGGGTGATGCCATGGGGCTTCCCTAGGGGTGATGCCATGGGGTGATGCCATGGGGGTCCCCTAGGGGTGAGCGCATTGGGGAGATGCCATGGGGTTCCCCTAGGGATGATGCCATGGGGTGATGCCGGGGGGCTCCCATTGGGGTGATGCCATGGGGCTCCCTAGGGTTGATGCCATGAGGTGATGCCATGGGGGTCCCCTAGGGGTGATGCCAGGGGGCTCCCATAGGGGTGATGCCATGGGGCTCCCCTAGGGGTGATGCCATGGGGTGATGCCATGGGGCTCCCCTAGGGGTTGATGCCATGGGGTGATGCCATGGGGCTCCCATTGGGGTGATTCCATGGGGCTCCCTAGGGGTGATGCCATGAGGTGATGCCATGGGGCTCCCATTGGGGTGATTCCATGGGGCTCCATTGGGGTGATTCCATGGGGCTCCCTAGGGGTGATGCCATGGGGTGATGCCATGGGGGCTCCCATTGGGGTGATGCCATGGGGTGATGCCATGGGGCTCCCATAGAGGTGATGCCATGGGGCTCCCTAGGGGTGATGCCATGGGGTGATGCCATGGGGCTCCCTAGGGGTTGATACCATGGGGTGATGCCATGGGGCTCCCTAGGGTTGATGCCATGGGGTGATGCCATGGGGCTCCCCTAGGGGTGATGCCATGGGGCTCCCTAGGGGTGATACCATGAGGTGATGCCATGGGGCTCCATAGAGGACATTGGGGTGATGCCATGGGGCTCCCATAGAGGACATTGGGGTGATGCCATGGGGCTCCCTAGGGTTGATACCATGGGGTGATGCCATGGGGCTCCCATTGGGGTGATGCCATGGGGTGATGCCATGGGGTGATGCCATGGGGCTCCCTAGGGTTGATACCATGGGGTGAGCCCCTTGGGGTTCCCCCACGGGCTGAGGCCGGGGGTCCCCGTGCCCCTTTCCCCCCCAGTCCTGCACTCCACCTGCAGTGACTTCAGCCACGGCACCGCGCTGCACATCGCCGCCTCCAACCTCTGCCTGGGCGCCGTGCGCTGCCTCCTGGAGCACGGCGCGGACCCCGCCATGCGGGTATGGGGCGCTCCGGGGGGACAGGGGGGTATGGGGGGCGATGGGGATATGGGGGGCTATAGGGGATATGGGGATATGGGGATATGGGGGATATAGGGGATATGGGGACTATGGGGGCAATGGGGATATGGGGGATATAGGGGATGTGGGGACTATGGGGCGATGGGGATATGGGGGATATAGGGGATATGGGGATATGGGGATATGGGGGATATAGGGGATATGGGGACTATGGGGGCAATGGGGATATGGGGGATATAGGGGATGTGGGGACTATGGGGGTGATGGGGATATGGGGGATATAGGGGATATGGGGACTATGGGGGCGATGGGGATATGGGGGATATAGGGGATATGGGGACTATGGGGGCGGTAGGGCTATAAGAGCTATAGGGGGTTATAGGGCTATAAGAGCTATAGGGGCTATAGGCAATATGGGGACTATGGGGGGTGATAGGGCTATAAGAACTATAGGGGGCTATAGGGCTATAAGAGCTATTGGGGCTATAGGCAATATGGGGACTATGGGGGGCGATAGGGCTATAAGGGCTATAGGGGATATGGGGACTATGGGAGGCGATAGGGCTATAAGAGCTGTAGGGGCTATAGGGGATATGGGGACTATGGGGGGCGATAGGGCTGTAAGAGCTATAGGGGCTATAGGGGATATGGGGACTATGGGGGGTGATAGGGCTATAAGAGCTATAGGGGATATGGGGACTATGGGGGGCTATAGGGCTATAAGAGCTATAGGGGATATGGGGGCTACAGGGGGCTGTAGGGAATATAGGTACTATAGGGGGCTATAGGGGATAGGCTCCCCATAGGCTCCCCATAGGCTCCCAGTCCCCCCAGTCGCCACAGCACCCATAGGCTCCCCATAGCACCCATAGGCTCCCCATAGGCTCCCCATAGCCTCCCAGTCCCCACAGCACCCATAGGCCCCCCATAGCCCCCCCATAGGCTCCCCATAGCCCCCCATAGCCCCCCCATAGCCCCCCCATAGCCCCCCATAGGCTCCCCATAGCCCCCCCATAGCCCCCCCCATAGCCCCCCCATAGGCTCCCCATAGCCCCCCCATAGCCCCCCATAGGCTCCCCATAGCCCCCCATAGCCCCCCCATAGCCCCCCCCATAGCCCCCCATAGCCCCCCCATAGCCCCCCATAGCCCCCCCATAGGCTCCCCATAGCCCCCCCATAGCCCCCCCATAGCCCCCCATAGCCCCCCATAGCCCCCCCATAGCCCCCCCATAGCCCCCCATAGCCCCCCCATAGCCCCCCATAGGCTCCCCATAGCCCCCCCATAGCCCCCCCATAGCCCCCCATAGCCCCCCCATAGCCCCCCCATAGCCCCCCATAGCCCCCCCCATAGCCCCCCCATAGGCTCCCCATAGCCCCCCCATAGCCCCCCCATAGCCCCCCCATAGCCCCCCCATAGGCTCCCCATAGCCCCCCATAGCCCCCCCATAGGCTCCCCATAGCCCCCCCATAGCCCCCCATAGGCTCCCCATAGCCCCCCCATAGCACCCATAGCCCCCCCATAGCCCCCCATAGCCCCCCCATAGCCCCCCCAGCCCTCCCCGTCCCCCTTGCCCCACAGAACAGCAAGGGTCAGGTGGCGGCGGAGGTGGTGCCGGACCCCACGGACATGGCCCTGGACAAGGCGGAGGCGGCGCTGGTGGCCCGGGAGCTGCGGCGGCTGCTGGAGGAAGCGGTGCCGCTGAGCTGCAGCCTGCCCAGGGTCACCCTGCCCAACTACGACAACCTGCCCGGGAACAGCGTCCTGCTCTGCCTCGGCATGCAGCTGGGGGACAGAGTGAGGCTGCAGGGGGGGAAGGTGAGAGGGGCAGCGGGGGGGTGGGGGGATGGGGTATGGGGTGTGGGGTGTGGGGTGTGGGGTGTGGGGTATGGGTCATATGGGGTGTGGGGTATGGGGGGTATGGGATATGGGGTATGGGGGGTGTGGGGTGTGGGATATGGGGTATGGGGGGTGTGGGGTGTGGGATATGGGGTATGGGGGGTGTGGGGTATGGGGGGTGTGGGGTGTGGGGTATGGGGGGTGTGGGGTATGGGGGGTGTGGGGTATGGGGGGTGTGGGGTATGGGGGGTGTGGGGTATGGGGTGTGGGGTATGGGTCATATGGGGTATGGGGTATGGGGGGTGTGGGGTATGGGGTGGGGGGTGTGGGGTATGGGGTGTGGGGTGTGGATATGGGGTATGGGGGGTGTGGGGGTATGGGGTGTGGGGTATGGGGTCATATGGGGTATGGGGTATGGGGGGGTGTGGGGTATGGGGA